AACATTAAATAAGTTTCTTAACGATAAAATGTCGATTAATTATGTTTAAAATGTACGCAGTACTGACGCATGAGAACCTTAAAACCAGTTCATAGACTACAAGCCTTTCCAAACAGAACCTGATTAACTGAGAATTAATTCTGTTGTGCAAGAACACAGGAAGGGGAACAGGGGAAAGGTGTGGTTTACAAATTTCGCGTTTTGGTTCCTGATTCGTTTGTTTTTACACCGAGTGTTAGCTTAACATGTCTTCCCTGCTCCTCGAATTCGGAGCCCGATGCATACTTTATATCTCCACAATAACAACCTAATACCTCTAGTATATACTGTTGTGTCTCGCGATGTCTCGCGATGTCTCGGGAAGCCTCGCTCAGAAAACAATCACTTCTCACTTGGGTCTTGCTTAGATCCTTCTATCCCTCTGACTTGTATACACAGCGTATGACCAACGGCTCCAAAAGTATCTTTTCCCAACCTTTCACCTATGTAGCGTCTACGGGATGCGACTGGGTTCCGTCTTAGGGGTCGTCTCAAAATGGTGTATTGTTCATGTTGGGAGTTTTTGGGCACGGGCTGGGTGACTCAGTCTCTGTGCTGAGTTGTGTCTCTTGGGCGTACAAAAAAACTATGATCTTGGATTCAATTCCTTATTCGCAATGTTTACGATTCTTGGTTTGTCAGATCCATATTTAGCCATGCTCGTGGATGTCATAAAGGTGATTAACGTATAAAACCAATCGTTTTAGGCTTTCCTCCTACATCAAGCTGGCACACCGTAATGTAACTAAAATACTCACTCACTCACTCACTCAATAACTCACTCAATAACTCACTCAACAACTCACTCGATAACTCACCCACTATCTCATTATACCAACTAATGTCAATGTTTCCGGAAAATGTACCCATGTCAAGGTTTGGGAAAATGTACCCATGTCAGGGTTTGGGGAAAATGTAACCATGTCAAGGTTTGGGAAAATGTACCATGTCAAGGTGTGGGGAAAATGTACCCATGTCAAGGTTTGGGGAAAATGTAGCCATGTCAAGGTGTGGGGAAAATGTACCATGTCAAGGTACGGGGAAAATGTAGCCATGTCAAGGTGTGGGGAAAATGTAACCATGTCAAGGTTTGGGAAAATGTACCATGTCAAGGTGTGGGGAAAATGTACCCATGTCAAGGTGTGGGGAAAATGTACCCATGTCAAGGTTTGGGGAAAATGTACCATGTCAAGGTGTGGGGAAAATGTACCCATGTCTAGGTTTGGGGAAAATGTACCCATGTCAAGGTTGGGGGAAAATGTACCCACGTCAGGGTTTGGGGAAAATGTAGCCATGTCAAGGTGTGGGGAAAAATGTAGCCATGTCAAGGTGTGGGGAAAATGTAGCCATGTCAAGGTGTGGGGAAAATGTAACCATGTCAAGGTTTGGGGAAAATGTACCATGTCAAGGTGTGGGGAAAATGTACCCATGTCAAGGTGTGGGGAAAATGTACCCATGTCAAGGTGTGGGGAAAATGTACCCATGTCAAGGTTTGGGGAAAATGTACCCATGTCAAGGTTTGGGGAAAATGTAACCATGTCAAGGTTTGGGAAAATGTACCATGTCAAGGTGTGGGGAAAATGTACCCATGTCAAGGTGTGGGGAAAATGTACCCATGTCAAGGTGTGGGGAAAATGTACCCATGTCAAGGTTTGGGGAAAATGTAACCATGTCAAGGTTTGGGCAAATGTACCATGTCAAGGTTTGGGGAAAATGTACCCATGTCAAGGTTTGGGGAAAATGTACCCATGTCAAGGTGTGGGGAAAATGTAGCCATGTCAAGGTGTGGGGAAAATGTACCCATGTCAAGGTTTGGGGAAAATGTACCCATGTCAAGGTTTGGGGAAAATGTACCCATGTCAAGGTTTGGGGAAAATGTACCCATGTCATGGTTTGGGGAAAATGTACCCATGTCATGGTTTGGGGAAAATGTACCCATGTCATGGTTTGGGGAAAATGTACCCATGTCAAGGTTTGGGGAAAATGTACCCATGTCAAGGTTTGGGGAAAATGTACCCATGTCAAGGTTTGGGGAAAATGTACCCATGTCAAGGTGTGGGGAAAATGTACCCATGTCAGGGTTTGGGGAAAATGTACCCATGTCAAGGTTTGGGGAAAATGTACCCATGTCAAGCTTTGGGGAAAATGTACTAATGTGTAGATTTGGAGAAAATGTACCCATGTCAAGGTTCGGGGAAAATGTACCAATGTCAAGGTTTCCGGAAAATGTACCCATGTCAGGGTTTGGGGAAAATGTACCCATGTCAAGGTTTGGGGAAAATGTACCCATGTCAAGGTTTGGGGAAAATGTACCCGTGTCAAGGTTTGGGGAAAATGTACCCGTGTCAAGGTTTGGGGAAAATGTACCAATGTCAGGGTGTGGGGAAAATGTACCCATGTCAAGGTTTGGGGAAAATGTACCCATGTCAAGGTTTGGGGGAAATGTACCCGTGTCAAGGTTTGGGGAAAATGTACCCGTGTCAAGGTTTGGGGAAAATGTACCCATGTCAGGGTTTGGGGAAAATGTACCCATGTCATGGTTTGGGGAAAATGTACCCATGTCAAGGTTTGGGGAAAATGTACCCGTGTCAAGGTTGGGGGAAAATGTACCCGTGTCAAGGTTGGGGGAAAATGTACCCATGTCAAGGTTTGGGGAAAATGTACCCATGTCAGGGTTTGGGGAAAATGTACCCATGTCATGGTTTGGGGAAAATGTACCCATGTCAAGGTTGGGGGAAAATGTACCCGTGTCAAGGTTGGGGGAAAATGTACCCGTGTCAAGGTTGGGGGAAAATGTACCCATGTCAAGGTTTGGGGAAAATGTACCAATGTCAAGGTGTGGGGAAAATGTACCAATGTCTAGGTTTGGGGAATATATATCCATGTGTACGTTTCGGCATAATCTGTCATACAGACCCTGAATCAAAGATATCCAATACACCCCATTCGAGTCTATAATATTTGGCAAGTTTAGATTACTGCAGTGCCTGAAAATGAAGACAGTCTCTGGGCTTCTTTTTATTATATTTTATAACTCTAATTTAACAACTGTTTTGTTTTTTCTGTAAAATATGTACATTTCAGAGACAAGATGTTAGTCTAGTTTTTCGGGAACAAATACCACTCTCAAGGATTGTTTTAATATATTCGAATGTCTAGTTTTAAAAAAAATATATTCCAATGTCTAGGTGTTTTTTTTCTCCTTTTCCAATGTCTAGTTTTTTTAAAATATATTCCAATGTCTAAGTTTTTTTAATATATTCCAATGTCTAGGATTTGTTAATATATTCCAATATCTAGGTTTTATAAATATATTCCAATGTCTAGGTTTAAAAAAAATATATTCAAATGTCTAGGTTACGGGAGTTGTGACACAACTGACCATTGAAGCACACCCAAGTTACCGAGTTCGTTTTAAATTAACTATGAAGGTTTGAGACGCTCCCCTGAAAAGCCATGTATACATGAAGGTAGTGATATTTTCTCAGGCCGGCCGTGGAAACACCTGAGCTGAGATCTATCCACAGCGAGATACACTAGGTATCACGATACACGACGAGAACGTTATGTTGCAGTCCACTGGCGCGAGAGTTGAGACGCTTTTGAACTGAAATAATAAATATTTTGCACGATCTTCTTGTGGTAATATCAACCTGCAGACACACACTGCTTGCGTCTCCAGCGGGAATAAACACTGCCTGCGAACGGAGTCGCTACAATAGGAGCGGGCTAACAGAGTTCGGGTTCAGTTGCATCGGAGATGGATTTGTGTGAAGTAGACATATTGAAGAAGGGGTGAGATGAGGTAGCCTTTATCCCTGGTTTAAACTGACACAAGATATTAAAAACGAGAGAGAGAGAGAGAGAGAGAGAGAGAGAGAGAGAGAGAGAGAGAGAGAGAGAGAGAGAGAGAGATTTTAAAAATAGGGAGAAGCAGAAAATATTTTATTAAACCACATACTACGCATTGTTGAAAGACGCCTGGTATGGGCGGTTGAGATGTTGTCGGTTGGCAATAATTTCATTTTTTAACATTTAATTCGGTGCATTTTATGGATGACAACTTTATTTTTATGTCTTCGTCGGCTTTTAACAGCAAAGAAGTAGTCAATACATCGTCTCATCGGCCGCCTGTTGTTAATGGTATTATCAGATTTATCGCAAAGTGTGACATTTCGCGATAAAGTTAATCGTATCGTGTCTCACGTCCCCTTCTTCATAGACAGAAATGTCAGCCATCAGAAAAACCACCAAACATTGACGCTATTCCATGGCTAGAAATCCCTTAATATCCCTTTAGAGCACCGATTATGTCATTCTCTTGAAAGATGTGTGTGTCTGCATAGAATAACTGCACATTCCAACCCAAAAACAACGTAAACCTCATGTAAACCTCTTAAATATTGATCTGTTCGACATAACTGTATTTGTTAAAGATGCGAAGTCTTAGTCAGGGAAGCTGGTATATCGCGCAATAGCATGACCATGTGGCTAGAAATATTCTGATCACTATTTGGTGAAATGACTCAGCTATGAAACTCTGATTACGTGTATTATGTTTTGGACAGTAACGCCACGAGTCATCAATCGTTTGGGTTTGTTTTGGGGTTTTTTAAAATAAATGCACACAAACTCTGATAAACGACAATATAATCTTTTCGTGAATTTTACAGAAGCAATTGATGGGAATTGTGTCTATTTGACAATGATAGGATTGTCAAACACTGCTATCCACTATATCAGGATTTCAATGTCATTTTTTCGAAAGGAATTCGTGTAAAATTAATTATTTCTAGAAGATATTAAAACACCTATTTCTTGGTCTATATTTCATTCAATGAACGAGGCGGTTTTGTCAGGCTGTTGGGTTTGTTTGATCTTCGCCGTCTTGTCTACTCCGACGTCCGCGCGTGGAGCGAGGCACTGTGTCGCTCAATCGAACAGCCTGCTTTAGCCGAAGAGATTGTTTAGGATTTGCGCTTCATTGACTTGCCTCGGCTACAAGACCTAGTGTAAGTTTCATGAAGGCTGCATTTCAAGCGGGATACACTACCTGTGATGCCCGGCCTTCAAGTCACTCATTTCACTCAATCAGCTTCACATGGCTGTTGTACATAGCGTTCTATGAAAACGGATTTGATTGACAATATCTCCCACGTGGTTACTTTCACTGAATATTTTAAGTGAAATCAAGTTTTTCAGCGCTGTGCTTCAAAGGATTTGTGATATTTTCCTCAGCTGATTCACGTGATTCGTTTAGTCAACCGCTGAAGTTCGTCATTTGTTTTGCTTCAACCCTTGTCGATTTCTCAACGTAAAATTTGCATAATTCGCCAAGCGGATAATTAGCATGGTGATGGGAGGCAACGCTGTATCGATATAAGTGGAAATGTACTGGTGAATCAAATCACAACTCAACTCGAGAATACGGAACAAATGATGTTTCCAATTTCTAACAGATCCTATCTTACTTTGCACGAGCGGTGGCTGTGATATAAAAAGTCCGATCGACGGATATCATACATTTATTCCTGGGCCACAGTCATATGAAGTGAGGATTACTACTCAAGTGCGGGGATTTCTAGCAGAACTTTCTCACTTACATATCAACTCTAATTTCATCATCCGTCAGTAAGTAATAAACATATACTATGTTTTAGTAATATATTTTATAACAATGTAAATTAATCAAATTTTATCTAATTTAAACAATTATATTATTGAAATAATTTCAAATTCCTTATTTCAAAAAATTAACCGTAAGTTATTTTTTAGCAGTTTTTTATAACTGTTTTATGTTAAATATGAGTTTGTGCTACATAGCTTTTATCATAACAACGTTTTGTTTAATTAAGACATTTGTGTCTCTCATTCGGCTTTTAATACGATGTCCACGTTTTTAAAGCAGTCAGTCACCTTAATATGAAAAAACAACAACCCAAGAACACAATTGGGTTAATTTTTCCGGGTTCTTTTATTTCTGCCGTATGTACAAAGTTAACGATCGTGAATGAAACATGTGATGTATATTCTGTTAGACAACTTGCCAGTGCGTCTTCGGTAACCTAACAGTGATTGATAATATAGACAGCAACGAAGCAGCTAGACACCTTTACCAATGGCAATGGTCTAAGGCTATAAAAAATCGTGATCATATTTGTTTCATAGGAAATAATGCCTGGTTATTTTTTGTATTTCATGTACGAGCAATGTGTCATTTGGTTGCCTGATACGTATCATTGTTGGATGAACGATAGGCATTTAGTAGTTACATCATGGTGGTTGCTTTCAGTTCAATGAAACGTGATTGATAATCGATCTGTTTCTTTTGACGTTTAGATACAGTAGCAATCAATGTTAAATGGTTTTAGCATTTTTATGGGCGCATAAAATAAAAGTGATAATGACAAAAAATACTGGTTTGGAATTAAAGTCCTTAGTGACTGGTACATGTCGTCAATTAGCGTTATGATTGATTGGTAATCAATCAGTTGTCATAACGCACTGCTGAGGATGATATATACACTTGAACTCGTTTATCCGGACAGGTCGGTCGAGTGAACGGATTACGTGATCGATTGACATAGATATGGTCAGATTATTCGGGGTTTGCGTTTGAAAAATCGCAGCTTTTAATTCCGTTTGAATAATTGAAAGGTGCAGAACGTTAAATCTTAATGTGTAGGATTGTGGTGATGAAGTTTTAGCACAGAGAACATGTCAGCTTTCAGACGTGATCGCCGAGGGGTCGTTCAGCTGATGAGGAAGAGTGTTATAGATGGATGTGAACATACGGGGGTACCGTTACGCGGTAACGAGGGCACGCGATTCACAGTTGCACCGAACTCTGCATTGGTACACATGCACAACTTATCAAGGAATCCTTAATTGTAAACAGGTTCGGATGCGGTTTATGCGTTGAATTACGCTGCTTTAAAACAGGCCGTAGGATTAGTGGCGCTTGGTGATTAGAATTAGACGAGATGTATGATAGTGTGAGGGAACATGGGGGTTTGGCGGAGTACATGAGAACGCTGACTGACAGTGGGGTGTGTGGGGGTAGTGAAGGCGTGGAGACGGCATTGGAATTTGGAGGGGTATAGACTGGTGGGAGGGACGCGGTATCAGGCTCGATGTCGGGAGGAGAGGGGTGGTGATGTGGGGCCAGGCTCGATGTCGGGAGGAGAGGGGGTGGTGATCTGGGGTCAGGTTCGATGTTGGGAGGAGGAGAGGGGTGGCGATGTGGGGTCAGGCGTGCTGTCGGGAGGAGGAAGAGGAGTGATGATGTGGGGTCAGGCTCCATGTCGGGAGGAGGAGGAGAGGGGGTGGTGATGTGGACTTCTGTAGGATGGGGACTTCTGTATAGGCTAGGCAGGAGAGCTAGGTTTGAGAGGTAGCTAGATTGTTGATGGGGGAGGGGCGACGGGCCAGTTAGGATGGAGGCTTCTGTATAGGCTAGGCAAGGGAGTTAGGTTTGAGAGGTAGCTAGGGTGGAACGGGCTATGGGACGTGGACAGGTTTGGTTGTTGCAGGACGGAAAGGGTCAGGCTAGCTGAATTGTACCATGGGGAGGGAGGGAGCGACGGTAAGGTTTGGTTGTTAGAGGGAGGGGGTCAGGCTTGCGAGATTGTTGAAATGGGAAATGAGATTGTAGTTTGTAGTTTGGAGGGAAAGGTAGCGGGCGTCAGGCAAGCTGAGCTGTTGCGAGGGGAGGGGGTGAAGGGATAGGGTTAGTTGTTAACGAGGGAGAGGGGGTCAGGCTGGCTGAGCTGTTGCGAGGGGAGGGGGTGAAGGGACAGGGTTAGTTGTTTACGAGGGAGAGGGGGTCAGGCTGGCTGAGCTGTTGCGAGGGGAGGGGGTGAAGGGACAGGGTTAGTTGTTAACGAGGGAGAGGGGGTCAGGCTGGCTGAGCTGTTGCGAGGGGAGGGGGTGAAGGGACAGGTGGAGAGGGGGTCAGGCTATTGCGAGGGGAGGGGGTGAAGGGACAGGAGGTCAGGCTGGCTGAGCTGTTGCGAGGGGAGGGTGAAGGGACAGGTTTGGTTGTTAACGAGGGAGAGGGGGTCAGGCTTGCCGAGCTGTTGCGAGGGGGGGGGGGGGGGGGGGGGGTGAAGGGACAGGGTTGGCTGTTAACGAGGTAGAGGGTGTCAGGCTGGTTGATCTGTTGCGAGGGGAGAGGGTGAAGGGACAGGGTTAGTTGTTAACGAGGGAGAGGGGGTGAAGGGACAGGGTTAGTTGTTAACGAGGGAGAGGGTGTCAGGCTGGCTGAGCTGTTGCGAGGGGAGGGTGAAGGGACAGGTTTGGTTGTTAACGAGGGAGAGGGGGTCAGGCTGGCTGAGCTGTTGCGAGGGGAGGGGGTGAAGGGACAGGGTTAGTTGTTTACGAGGGAGAGGGTGTCAGGCTGGCTGAGCTGTTGCGAGGGGAGGGTGAAGGGACAGGTTTGGTTGTTAACGAGGGAGAGGGGGTCAGGCTGGCTGAGCTGTTGCGAGGGGAGGGGGTGAAGGGACAGGTGGAGAGGGGGTCAGGCTATTGCGAGGGGAGGGGGTGAAGGGGCAGGAGGTCAAGCTGGCTGCTCCATATTGAGACTGGTAGATACGTTAATACTCCACGAGAGCAGAGATTGTGCAATAGTTGCAACCAAAGATATGTCGAGAATGAATATCATTTTTTATTAATTTGTAACGCTTATGATGAACTTCGTCTTCAGTATTTACCACAGAAGTATTTTGTACATCCTACTCTTCCTAAATTCAATATGCTTATGGCGGTAAACAATGAAACTGTAATTAGAAATGTTGCAACTTTTATATACCATGCTATGAATGTTAGACTCCAAACACTAAGCCTATAAATGTTAATGATGGACCGAATATTGTACCATGGGCCGCTGGCCCACACATGTACATGAATAAAGACTTGAATACTTGTGAGAGGGGGTCAGGCTGGCTGAGCTGTTGTGAGGGGAGGGGGTGAAGGGACAGGTGCAGAGGGGGTCAGGCTATTGCGAGGGGAGGGGGTGAAGGGACAGGTGCAGAGGGGGTCAGGCTATTGCGAGGGGAGGGGGTGAAGGGACAGGAGGTCAGGCTGGCTGAGCTGTTGCGAGGGGAGGGTGAAGGGACAGGTTTGGTTGTTAACGAGGGAGAGGGGGTCAGGCTGGCTGAGCTGTTGCGAGGGGAGGGGGTGAAGGGACAGGAGGTCAGGCTGGCTGAGCTGTTGCGAGGGGAGGGGGTGAAGGGACAGGTTTGGTTGTTAACGAGGGAGAGGGGGTCAGGCTGGCTGAGCTGTTGCGAGGGGAGGGGGTGAAGGGACAGGGTTAGTTGTTAACGAGGGAGAGGGGGTCAGGCTGGCTGAGCTGTTGCGAGGGGAGGGGGTGAAGGGACAGGTGGAGAGGGGGTCAGGCTATTGCAAGGGGAGGGGGTGAAGGGACAGGGGGTCAGGCTGGCTGAGCTGTTGCGAGGGGAGGGTGAAGGGACAGGTTTGGTTGTTAACGAGGGAGAGGGGGTCAGGCTTGCCGAGCTGTTGCGAGGGGAGGGAGGGGGGAGGGTGAAGGGACAGGTTTGGTTGTTAACGAGGGAGAGGGGGTCAGGCTTGCTGATCAGTTGCGAGGGGAGGGGGTGAAGGGACATGGTTGGTTGTTAACGAGGGAGATGGTGTCAGGCTGACTGATCTGTTGCGAGGGGAGGGAGGGGGTGAAGGGACAGGTTTGGTTGTTAACGAGGGAGAGGGGGTCAGGCTGGCTGAGCTGGTGTGGGGGAGTGAGTAAGTGGGCGAAGGATGCGGTATCTTTCGAATCGGACTCAAGACGAAGCTGTGGTAGTGAATGGGTCCTGTGTATTTTCAGAATAGAATGGAGATGTAAAATACTTGTAAATTCATAAAACCGAAAATTGAAAAAAACAATCACAACATTGGCATCTTTCACGTTTATCACACATTCGTTATATCCTTACTGCCTAATAGCTTCATGCCTTTTCCATGGAGACAAAAAATGTCATAATCAGTTGTTCTGAAGCATGTATATCATGCCCATGACATCAGGATATGCCCAATGGGAGGGATTTTGTTTTCCTAACAACTATTTATCTTCACAAGTTGTCAGGACTAATTCGCTCCCAGGCCTAACATGGCGGACAATTTATCAGCTGGGGTCGGAAGTCACATGGTAAATATTTTTATAAGGTAGATTTAATCTAACCTACATATTTAGAATTCTGCATAGGACAAACTATATCTTTGAATATTTCAAAAAAGTATGTTTTTATCGGTATATATCATAGCTCTTGGAAAATACTGTTCCGGTAGAATTTGGAAGATATTCCTATGTTAATGGTGAAGAATACACAATGCTGCGAATGAAATTATGATGCATTATTTATTATTTACTACAGTTGGTTGGTTGGTTGTTGAACACCGCACTCATCAATATTCCAGATATATGACGGCGGTCTGTAAATAATCGAGGCGGCTATGCTTGTCGTAAGAGGCGACTAAGGGGATCAAGTGGTCAGGCTCGCTAAAATTGGTTGATGCGTGTCATCGTATCCCAATTACGTGGATCGATGCTCATGATGTCAATCACAGGATTGTCTGGTCTGGACTCGGTTATTTAAAGCCCGTCGTCACATAGCTGGAATATTGCCGAGTGCGGCGCTAAACAACAAACAAACAAACCATAACTACGACTCGTAAATCTTGCTTTCAACAAAACATTACCGTCCGCATTGATAGGGTTTCACTGTATACAATTGTTAAAGCTATTTATTTTATGAGTTTCGAACATTTTTAGTTTTGTTTGCCACCCAGGAAACTGTCGAACAAATTCATATGCGTTGGGTTGTTTTTTTGCACCGAACTGTTTTTGACACGGGTTTCCCTATAAACAAATACCTGCATTTTTCACATACATTCATCACGACTGACATGAATCGACCCGAATATATTCCGTAATTGGTGGAATTCACAGACTTTCACCATGTCTCGGTTGTTTATGTAACAGCGCATTACAACGGAAATTGTTGACATACCTTGATTTAATTCAGAAGGTGTGTGTTGCCCCTATAACAATGCGGATCTCTGGTTGTGTTGATGTTAATTTTAGTACGAAGACGTCACTTATTCGGGACTAAAACTTCAAAAACATTTAAATAAGTCCTGAAGAGTTGTTGTCAGGCTGACCCAAGCGTCCGATTTCCGGATATTAAGATCACGTGCCTGTTTAGGGAAATAATATGCTGTCATCCATATAGTGACACGTGGTTAAATGAGGCAGTAGCTCCTTATTGACATCGTTTTACAAGTGCGCTGTGCGGAGTAGTGACACGTTGTGTACGCATAGTGGTCGTGGGGTGGTCGTGGGGTTAAAGCATTCACCCGTCACAATCTGTTTCGATTCCCTTCAAGTACAATTTGCAGGGTTAGAATTGCTTTTCAGTAACCGATGCTTGTCGTAAGAGGCGACAATATACTTATCATAGGAGCGACTAACGGGATCGGGTGGTCAGGCTCGACAGCTGATGCATGTCATCACATCCCAATTGCGTAAACCGATGCTTATGATGCCTATGACTGGATTGTCCGGTCCTGACTCGGATGATATGAAGACCGCCGCCATATAACTGTTGTATGTTGAGTGCGGCGTTAAATAAATAGCAAAACTTCATATGCATGCCATGCTTGGTGTTCCGTATCGTAATACTGCTTGAATTTGCTGAAAGCGGCGTAAAACCCTACTCACTCACCCGGAGACATGTAGCTTTCCCAGCAGTGACCGCCCTGAATATGATGTGTTCGTAAAAACAAGATACGGAATAAACAAGTTTTCGTTGTAAATATATGTTGCATTTTCCAGAAGAGAATGTTTCACAACGCTATCCCTGCATGAGTGACTGAGTGAGCGAATGAATATTGTTTTACGCCGCTTTTAGCAACTATCCAGCAATATCACCAGAAATGTGCTTCACACATTGTACCCATGTGGGGAATCGAACCCGGGCCTTCGGCTTTAACCACTAGACTACCCCAACAGCCCTATTCCTGCATGAGTGAGTGAGTATGGTTTTACGCCGCTTTTAGCAATATTCAGCAATATCACGACGGGGGACACCAGAGATGGGCATCACACATTGTACCCATGTCGGGAATCGAACCCGGGTCTTCGGCGTGACGAGCGAACGCTTTAACCACTAGGCTACCCGACCGCCCCTATTCCTGCATAAAGTAAAGCTCATTGTGGAGATTGTTGGAATTGAATATACCACATTTGTTTCAACAGTTAATTATGTTGTTTCGTCATAACGAAGTTTAATTATTAAAAGGGGGAATATATACGGTCTGAAATTATTTGTTTCTGTCTTTGTAAATCTGTTTGTTTGAGCTCGGATCATTTGGAACTACAATAAAACTATATGGAATCGTTTTATGCTGAAGCGTCATCCTTTGTTCTTTGTTATCAACCTCAGGAAAGAAACAATAGCTTTTAAAAGGAAACTTTCCAGGTATTTGTTTCGTCATATCGTGAGCGCCGACTGGTCTCGAGCTATTAGATACCACGTCGCTTTACCGAGACGGTCGTCGGTGTTTGGAGAGTTCATAGCTCGCGGGTCTTGATTGCTAACACTCTGTCAGGCTCAATGGCGCACACGCGCTGTCTCACGAGGAAAGAAAATACTGAAGGTATGCGGGAGAGGCGATTAGAGTTACCTCCCCTTGTTTCTCGGGCGAGTTCTTGCGTTAAAGGTGGACGCCTTTCGAAAATAGTTTTATACAAGAAGGGATATCGTAGAATGGTGACAAAGTTTTATTTTGTAGGCCTTAAAGATGGAGATTACACATTTATATTACACAAGGCATATTTTCGAGACTGCGAAAGAGAAACGATGGTTGTTGTCATAGCAGTGATCTCGTTTTTCGAAATTACATGCGATTAATTACTCTTTTTTTCACACGATTGTTTAAAGTATTTTCGTTTATTGTCGCTACTTGTGAAGCTACAGGTTATATTGAAAATACCCTATTAATTCGGGTATTAATTTGTATTTTCGTTATTTTTCAGGATAATGGTATTTGCCTTACTGTTGGTACTTGCACTGATCGAATCCGGACCTCCAAGCGTTCTAGCCGGTGAGTTACAAATATATCATCTTCCCGAGGCAAGTGTATCCACCAGCCAATATCAAAGTTACAAATATATCATCTCATCTTCCCGAGGCAAGTGTGTCCACTAGCCCATATCAAAGTTACAAATATATCATTTCATCTTCCCGAGGCAAGTGTGTCCACTAGCCCATATCAAAGTTACAAATATATCATCTCATCTTCCCGAGGCAAGTGTGTCCACTAGCCCATATCAAAGTTACAAATATATCATCTCATCTTCCCGAGGCAAGTGTGTCCACCAGCCCATATCCAAGTTACAAATATATCATCTCATCTTCACGAGGCAAGTGTGTCCACCAGCCCATATCAAAGTTACAAATATATCATCTCATCTTCCCGAGGCAAGTGTGTCCACTAGCCCATATCAAAGTTACAAATATATCATCTCATCTTCCCGAGGCAAGTGTGTCCACCAGCCCATATCCAAGTTACAAATATATCATCTCATCTTCACGAGGCAAGTGTGTCCACCAGCCAATATCAAAGTTACAAATATATCATCTCATCTTCCCGAGGCAAGTGTGTCTACTAGCCCATATCAAAGTTACAAATATATCATCTCATCTTCCCGAGGCAAGTGTGTCCACCAGCCAATATCAAAGTTACAAATATATCATCTCATCTTCACGAGGCAAGTGTGTCCACCAGCCCATATCAAAGTTACAAATATATCATCTCATCTTCCCGAGACAAGTGTGTCTACTAGCCGATATCAAAGTTACAAATATATCATCTCATCTTCCCGAGGCAAGTGTGTCTACTAGCCCATATCAAAGTTACAAATATATCATTTCATCTTCCCGAGGCAAGTGTGTCCACTAGCCCATATCAAAGTTACAAATATATCATCTCATCTTCCCGAGGCAAGTGTGTCTACTAGCCGATATCAAAGTTACAAATATATCATCTCATCTTCCCGAGGCAAGTGTGTCTACTAGCCCATATCAAAGTTACAAATATATCATTTCATCTTCCCAAGGCAAGAGTGTCCACGAGCCAATATCAAAGTTACAAATATATCATTTCATCTTCCCGAGGCAAGTGTGTCCACCAGCCAATATCAAAGTTACAAATATATCATCTCATCTTCACGAGGCAAGTGTGTCCACCAGCCAATATCAAAGTTACAAATATATCATCTCATCTTCACGAGGCAAGTGTGTCCACTAGCCAATATCAAAGTTACAAATATATCATCTCATCTTCCCGAGGCAAGTGTGTCCTACAGCCAATATCAAAGTTACAAATATATCATCTCATCTTCACGAGGCAAGTGTGTCCACCAGCCAATATCAAAGTTACAAATATATCATCTCATCTTCACGAGGCAAGTGTGTCCACTAGCCAATATCAAAGTTACAAATATATCATCTCATCTTCCCGAGGCAAGTGTGTCCACTAGCCCATATCAAAGTTACAAATATATTATCTCATCTTCCGTATCTTCAATAGTGACAGGGACTTGAGGTTTGTCAGGTCCGTATCTTCAATAGTGACATGGACTTGAGGTTTGTCAGGTCCGGATCTTCAATAGTGACATGGACTTGAGGTTTGTCAGGTCCGTATCTTCAATAGTGACAGGGACTTGAGGTTTGTCAGGTCCGTATCTTCAATAGTGACAGGGACTTGAGGTTTGTCAGGTCCGTATCTTCAATAGTGACAGGGACTTGAGGTTCGTCAGGTCCGTATCTTCAATAGTGACATGGACTTGAGGTTTGTCAGGTCCGTATCTTCAATAGTGACATGGACTTGAGGTTTGTCAGGTCCGTATCTTCAATAGTGACAGGGACTTGATGTTTGTCAGGTCCGTATCTTCAATAGTGACAGGGACATGATGTTTGTCAGGTCCGTATCTTCAATAGTGACATGGACTTGAGGTTTGTCAGGTCCGTATCTTCAATAGTGACAGGGACTTGAGGTGATTCTGGTCCGTATCTCCAATAGTAACATGGACTTGAGGTTTGTCATGTCCGTATCATCAATAGTGACATGGACTTGAGGTTTGTCAGGTCCGTATCTTCAATAGTGACATGGACTTGAAGTTTGTCAGGTCCGTATCTTCAATAGTGACATGGACTTGATGTTTGTCAGGTCCGTATCTTCAATAGTGACATGGACTTGAGGTTTGTCAGGTCCGTTTCTTCAATAGTGACAGGGACTTGAGGTTTTTCAGGTCCGTATCTTCAATAGTGACATGGACTTGAGGTTTGTCAGGTCCGTATCTTCAATAGTGACAGGGACTTGAGGTTTGTCAGGTCCGTATCTTCAATAGTGACATGGACTTGAAGTTTGTCAGGTCCGTATCTTCAATAGTGACAGGGACTTGAGGTTTGTCAGGTCCGTATCTTCAATAGTGACAGGGACTTGATGTTTGTCAGGTCCGTATCTTCAATAGTGACATGGACTTGAGGTTTGTCAGGTCCATATCTTCAATAATGACATGGACTTGAGGTTTGTCAGGTCTGTATCTTCAATAGTGACATGGACGTGAGGTTTGTCAGGTCCGTATCTTCAATAATGACAGGGACTTGAGGTTTGTCAGGTCCGTATCTTCAATAGTGACAGGGACTTGAGGTTTGTCAGGTCCGTATTTTTAATAGTGACAGGGACTTGATGTTTGTCAGGTCCGTATCTTCAATAGTGACATGGACTTGAGGTTTGTCAGGTCCGTATCTTCAATAGTGACATGGACTTGATGTTTGTCATGTCCGTATCTTCAATAGTGACATGGACTTGGTGTTTGTCAGGTCCGTATCTTCAATAGTGACATGGACTTGATGTTTGTCAGGTCCGTATCTTCAATAGTGACATGGACTTGAGGTTTGTCAGGTCCGTATCTTCAATAGTGACATGGACTTGAGGTTTGTCAGGTCCGTATCTTCAATAGTGACATTGACTTGATGTTTGTCAGGTCCGTATCTTCAATAGTGACATGGACTTGATGTTTGTCAGGTCCGTATCTTCAATAGTGACATGGACTTGAGGTTTGTCAGGTCCGTATCTTCAATAGTGACATGGACTAGAGGCGATTCTGGTCCATATCTTCAATAGTGACATGGACTAGAGGCGATTCAGTTCCGTATCTTCACGAGTGACATGGACTAGAGGCGATTCTGGTCCGTATCTTCAATAGTAACATAGTGCTTGGGGCTATTCTGGCCTGTTTGTTCAATAGTAACATGGACTAGAGGCGATTCTGTTCCGTATCTTTAATAGTGACATTGACTAGAGGCGATTCTGTTCCGTATCTTCAATAGTGACATGGACTAGAGGCGATTCTGGTCCGTATCTTCAATAGTGACATGGACTAGAGGCGATTCTGGTCCGTATCTTCAATAGTAACATAGTGCTTGAGGCTATTCTGGCCTGTTTGTTCAATAGTAACATGGACTAGAGGCGATTCTGGTCAGGATCTTCAATAGTGACATGGACTAGAGGCGATTCTGGTCAGGATCTTCAATAGTGACATGGACTAGAGGCGATTCTGGTCAGGATCTTCAATAGTGACATGGACTAGAGGCGATTCTGGTCAGGATCTTCAATAGTGACATGGACTAGAGGCGATTCTGGTCAGGATCTTCAATAGTGACATGGACTAGAGGCGATTCTGGTCAGGATCTTCAATAGTGACATGGACTAGAGGCGATTCTGGTCAGGATCTTCAATAGTGACATGGACTAGAGGCGATTCTGGTCAGGATCTTCAATAGTAGCATAGACTTGAGGTTATTCTGGTCGTTGTGTTCAATAGTAAAAAGGACGAGAGGTTATTCTGGCCGGTATGTTCAATCGTACCATGGACGTGAGGCAATTCTGGTCCGTATCTTGAAAAGTAACGTACGATTGATGTCATTCTGGTCCGTATGTTTAATCGTAACATACTTTGGGCTTAAGGCTATTCTGGACAGTATTTTCAATAGTAGCATAGGCTTCAGGTTATTCTTGTCCGCATGTTCAATGGTAACATAGTGACATGAATGTGATGCTATCCTGGTTCGTATTTTAAATAGTTACAAAGTAACATGAACGTGATGCTTTTTATCTTGGTTCGTATTTCCAATAGTAACATGGACTTGATGCTATCCTGGTTCATATTGTCAATAGTAAAATAGTAACATGGACTTGATGCCATCCTGGTTCGTATTGTCAATAGTAACATAGTAACGTGAACGTGATGCCATCGTGGTTTCGTATTGTCAATAGTAACATAGTAACATGGACTTGATGATATCCTGGCTCGTATTGTCAATAGTAACATAGTAACATGAACGTGATGCCATCCTGGTTCGTATTTTCAATAGTAACACAGACTTGAGGCGATTCTGGTCAGTGTGTTCAATCGTAATATGGACTTGATGCTATTCTGGTCAATAGTAACAAAGGTTTGAGGCTATTCTGGTTCGTATGCTCAATAGTAACATTGAGTTCTGGCTGTTATTGTCCGTATGTTCAATAGTCGCATAGGCCTGAGGCTATCCTGGACAGTGTGTTCAATAGTAACATGAATTTGATGTTATTCTAGTCCGTATTTCCAATAGCAACATGGACTTGAAACTTTCCTGGTTCGTATTTTCAATAGTACATGGGCGTGAGGCGATTCTGGTTCGTATTTTCAATAGTAACACAGACTTGATGCTATCCTGGTTCGTATTTTCAATAGTAACACAGACTTGATGCTATCCTGGTTCGTATTTTCAATAGTACATGGGCGTGAGGCGTTTCTGGTTCGTATTTTCAATAGTAACACAGACTTGAGGCGATTCTGGTCAGTGTGTTCAATTGTAACGAGGTCTTTTCTGGTCTTTACTTTAATAGTTACGTGGACTTGATGCTTTTCTGGTCCGTTAATATATGCTAATATAAAGAAATATCGTGTCCTGTATGGTTACTTTGCGTTTGGCCCCACATTCAACAGCCACCATATATTGTGTTAAGAATATGGTTTTTTTCACTTGATACATAGCT